TGGTGATTTTAAACACGCATGCCAAAAACATGGTAATTTCATTCCTGCGAATTCCAACACAGGCCTTCAGACCTCAGACATAAAATTAGTCTTCTTCCCTTCAAATCCACCAAATCTCCCACACAATACCAAACCTCAAGTCTTTGAGCAGACTCTTAGTGTAGGAAGGCAGAGTTACTCATCAGTGATGATAAGTCCATCATGATACACACTTTATACCCAAATTTTCCGATTTGGAGCCCTTGAAAAATGCTGTTTCTTTGGTTCATATCCACAGCAGTGGGGATGATAACAGCTGAAGAAGTTATGTGGGCACCCTTGCTTTTAATGACCCCACCTAACCCGCTTGCATTTTATTGAATAAAGGTTGCTGTCGAAGCATAGCACTTGCTTCAGAGATCTTTACCAGGGTTTATTGCTGGTTTTGTCTCTTTGTTTGTTTGGTAGAGAAATTTTGAAGACAACCTTCAGATTTTTCTAGGCTGAATTTTCAAAACAGGTAATGTTGTGTTAAACTAAATAAAATAAGTGTAATGTATCAAATATATTAAATTTCCATTTTATAATTCAGAATTTTTAGGAATGATGAGATCTTCACAAAGTTTGCAGAGTAGAAGACATGAGGATTTGGTGGATATGGTGCCCTAAATCAAGTTGCATCTTGTCAGTATTCACTTGCTTGTTGCTGGAGGAACTCGAATTTGCTGTAGATTGAGCCCACTGCAGGACAGCTCTGAACTTGTCTGGTTTGGTCTCAGTTGCACTTTGGTGTGTTTGTGGGTCACTCTTTTGGAATACCAGACACGGTGCCATTTGATAAGTCAGCAAAGAAGGGTCTGTCTGGCAGCAAGCACAACAATCAGTGTAGCTCATATGCTTTTATAAGTGAGACAACTACGCTCAGTTATTTTTAGCGGTTTCTAGGTTTTTTGCACTGTTGCCGTGACTGTATTTTGAGCCAAAGAATTTTAGATCTTAAGTATTTGTAGCCAGAAATCATGTCCAAAGGCTCAGCAGCACTGGACACGTCCTTCTTGAGACGTCTTATACAGCAATCTGTTGAAGATGTCCGACAGCCAGATCCTCAAAGTTGGCAGGAAGATGCCTAAACATTTTTATTTTCTAGGCCCTGAAGTCTCTGCATTCGGGCTCTTAGCTGTAGCAGGAAAGGTATCACGAAGATCTTCCTTAGGTATCTGTTTTGCAAATTAATACACAACCCTCTGCTTTTCAGTGTAACTTCGGATATTTATGTATTTTACATATAAACAATTTATATATGTTACTATTTATATGCAAATTGTTTATGTGTAAATATGAAACTTTACATGCCATACTGCTCTGTGCCATTTGTGCCTTAGTTATCAAGCATGCTAACAAGTAAAACTCTTGGTGATGACATTTTTTTTTTT